AATGAAGGAATGAAAACCCAAAATCCCTGTAAATGTTCATTAAAACTAATAAAATTTAAAAAAAAAAAGACATACTTCCTCATGAGTCTTCCCACAGTACGGTAGGTTGGGTAGGAATTTGAGCATGTTGTTGTCAGATGTCATAGGGCTTGCTTGGATTCATGACCCTGTGTACGACAGATTGAAGCCTTGCCTGATCTTGAACCATCTTCACAATGTTCATCAGGTTGATGCTCAGTGTCTCTGTCACTTTGACAGCCCATCTTTTTTTTAAAAAAAATTCTTTTTTATGTTGTAAACATTTTAATGATTATTATTGTCAGTCCATCTTGTTGGTGGACCTTCTTGAGTGTCTTCTTCTCCTTTGCCGAACCTCTACTATTTCAAGCATCATGTCCTTTTCCAAGGTCTGGCCCCTCTTGATAACATGTCAAAATATGTGAAATGAAGTCTCACCATCCTTGGCTCTGAAGAGCACTCTGGCCACACTTTTTCTAAGACAGACTTGGTTGTTCTTTTGATAGGCCATGGTATGTTCAATACCCTTCTCCAACACCATAATCCAAAGACACCAATTTTTCTGTTTTCCTTATTTATTGTTCAACTTTACTAGCGTATGAAGCAGTGGAGAACACCATGGCTTGGTTCATATACACTTTAATCTTTAAACTAACATCCCTGCTCTTACCACTTTAAAGAAGCCCTTGGTAGCAGAGTTTCTGAATGTTATACATCTTTTTAACTTATTGACTGCTGTTGTCATTAGTGTTGCTTGGTTATTCAAGTAAAATGAAATCCTTCACAACTTCAATGTTTCATCCATTTATCATGAAGTTGTCTATTTATCCAATTGTGAGGATTTTTGTTTTCTTGGTGCTGAAGTATTTATTATCCATACTGAGTTATTTAACTCTTCTTCGCTTTCTGTAGACCAGATTACATTAAAAGTATAATGCACATAGTTCCTTCAATCCTGATATTACATTCTATTTTATATAGTCCATTTCAGGTAGAAAAGGTATAAAGAAAGGATACAAACCTGATGCACCCCTTTTCTGATTTTAAACCATGTGGTATTTTCTTGCCCTGTTCAAAAACTGCTTCTTGTTTCAAGTGCAGATTCTACGTACGTGAGCACAATTAAGTGTTCTGGAATTGTCCTTCTTCTCAATGTTATATATAGTTTATTATTATTCACATAGTGGAATACATTTTCATAGTCTACAAAACACAAGTAAACATCTAATATTCTCTGCCCTGAACTAGGATCCATTTGGGTATCTCAACTGTCAAACTCTGGCTTTGGAAATAATGAGGCAGGACCATTTATTCATTTATTTCTTGAGACACATTATTGTAACATTTTCTGTAGGAACTGCTGGAATACAGATGTTGGCATTCAGGATTCTGTTTTGGAATCCCTTACATGACAGAAAGTAATAGAACAATTAAACCACTTAAGTAATAGCATACAGTAAGGGTCAACCCTCTTGGTAACCACAGCCAGGAAATCAAGAGATGAATTGCATTGGGAAAGTCAGCTGTGAGGGACCTCTGAAGAGTACTGAAGAGCAACGATGTCAGGCTGGAGACTGAGGTGCACCTGATCCAGGCTATTGTCTTCACAATTATGTGCTATGTGTCAGAGAGTTGGACAGTGAATAGGGATGATAGAAAGAGAATTGATGCCTTTGAACTGTGGTGCTGGAGAAAAGTGTTGAATATATATATCATGGACTGCTAGGAGAACAAACAGGTTTGTCCTGGAGAAGGTGAAGCCAGAATGTTCCTTGGAGTCAAGGATTCTGAAGCTTCGTCTGACATACTTTGGGGATGTTGCAAGAAGGGACTGGTCCTTAGAGAGGGACATTATGTTTGGCAGAGTGGATGGGTGGCACAGGAGAGGAAGACCTTCGATGAGATTGATCGATTTTGTGACTGGAGTGGTGGGAATAAGTGCATTTGAGATGGCTAGGTTGGCACAGAATAGAAAGGAGTTTAGAGCTCTGTACATAGGGTCACTATGAGTCGCAAGCGACTCAATGGCACATAACAACAACAACAACAACAACAAGGGTTAAGGGGGAAAAACACACAAAACTACATACTAGACACATAGGTTATAAACATGCTAAAGATCAAGCCCAGGGTCAAGTACATTCACAGTACTGAAAAAGGGTTGTTGTCATTTTTGTACAATCAAGTCAGAGCCAGTTCACAGCTGACTCTCTAGTAGGTTTGCAGAGGCAATGTATCACTCAGGGGAGATGGTTCATCTTTTTCTCACAGAGCAGCTGATGAACTACATGCCTCTGAGGGCTGGCAGTGTAACTCCATACCTCTAAGCCACCAGGAAAGGCTAATCATGTTGTATTACTTAACCCAGGTGGTGTTTATATGGTTGTCATCACTCAAACTATTATCATTTTTATTTGTATACTTTTTTCTCTATCATTTTCTTTTTGATGTTATGGCTAAAAAAAATTTAAGGCTTATTAGTGAATCAATCAATGTAATCTAACTTAGCATGAGCTTAAAATAGTTTCCCACTGGGGGTGCAGAGAGAAGGGTGCAACAATGAATGAATGGAATTCCAAAATCTCTGTAGATGTTCATTGAAATGAAAAATAAATTCATTAATTAAAATTTTTCAAAAAACTAAAAAAAAAATCGTTTGCCACTGTGGGACTCAGAAAGGCTAGCACACTTTTTCTAGGAAAGGTCCAATACTAAATACTTTTGGACATACGGTATCTGTTACAGTTACTCATCTTTGCACTGCAGTGTAAAATCCATGTGGATAATATATAAATGAATGAAAATATGTGTTTCAATAAAATATCTTTTGCTCTTTCTCTCCAACCATTTAAAAATGTAAAAACCATCCTTATGTTCCCTGTTGTGTCTAAGCAGACAGCATGGAGTTTGACCTGAGGGAAACAGATCGCCAACTCTGCAGTTAGCTGATGTGTGGGCAAACCCCATTTCTAGGCCCCCATTGAGGTGCAGCCTCAGCGAGAACCCCTGCTCCATCCTTCCCCTACCTTTATACGTAGGCAGACACTCCATCCGATCGTGACAGGGATATTTGCTATCCGGATGCTTGATGGGGGCCACTCGGCACACAGAGTGAGGGTTGTAATCTTTCTTATACGTCGTGAGCAAGTCCATGTTCTCTCCACTAGGGACAAACTCCTTGGGCTGGGGGCCCTTCACCGGTAACACCTTCTGAAGCCCATAATCTCTCCTGTACAGAAAAGAAAGCACATGCCATTGGGTCTTTGGCTGAAAACAAGGTTCATGTTTTCCACTGAACTCAATTCTAGAAATGTTTTCTGAGGACCCATCTCCTCCAAAGTTTCCACCTTAGTTTTTATTTCCTACTTCAAGAAAGGGCCCAGCATTACCTTCTCTCCCAAGTCAGACACCTGGCCATCACCTTTGCCCTGTCTTCTGCCCCTCCTCACCCCCAGACAGTCCATTTAATCAGACTGCACAAGTGTAACCTTTTCCATCAAAGTTGTCTCTCGTTCAAATGCCTACCACCTTCTCAGCTGGATCACAGAACAGCCAGGACTTCCTGCTTAATTATTTCCACAACTGCTTCAATCCTTAGAGCATTGTCAGAATGAAACTCAAATTCTTTCACCCTCTAGTTAAACATCTTCCAGATATAGCCCAAAATCTCTAGCACAATTAATAAACTTTTTAGGACCTAGCCCCTGATTTATAACCAGCCCTATGCTGAAATGGAGGAGGACTTGAAATGCTTGCTGCAGAAGGTCAAGGACCGTAGTCTTCAATATGGATTGAAGCTCAACATCAAGAAGACAGAGATTCTCTAGGCCAATTGGCAGCACCATGATGGATGGAGAAGAGATTGAGGTTGTTAACAATATCAGCTTGCTCAGCTCCACAATCAACACTCTTGGCACCAGCAATCAGGAAATCAAAAGACAAACTGCACTGGGGAAGTCTGCTGCCATGGACCTCTCCAGAGTACTGAGGAGCAACGATGTCAGTCTAGAGATGAAGGTGCACCTGATCCAGACCATGGTCTTCACAATTACATGCTACGCATCCGAGAACTGGACAATGACTAAGAACGACAGATGAAGACTTGATGCCTTTGAGTTGTGGTGTTGGAGAAGGGTCTTGAACATACTACAGTCCACCAAGAAAACAAATAGGTCTGTCTTAGAGAGGGTGAAATCAAGTTTTTCCTTGGAGGCCAGGATTTTGAAGCTGTCTTGCATACTTTGGGCACGTGGCCAGGAGGGACCAGTCCTTGGAGAAGGACATCATGCTTGGAAGGGTGGAGGAACAGTGCAGGAGAGTAAGATCCTGGATGAGATGGATTGATACAGAAACTGGGGCAATGTGTCAGAATCAGTGAGAATGGCTCAGGACAGGGCAGGCTTCAGAGCTATTGTACATAGGGTTGCAATGAGTCTCAGGTGACTCCATGGCACATAACAACTATCTCCTCTACAAATCTCAAGCCACCTTATCCACACTGCCCTCCACCCACACTAAAAGACATAAAGGACTTCTGTCCTGGATCTCCTGTCTGCATTGTCTTTATCTCTAACTCCCTGGCTTCAAAGATAATTTCTGCTTCTCAGGTACCTTCTTCGCCAGGATCCCAACAGCACCTCTTGATAACATTTCCCTGCTTCCTCTACTTGAGATTACAAAAAAGAAAGGTGGGCAATAGATTGGAACACTGGGCCTTTTCCTCCTCTGCTAGCCAGGAGCACGTTTATTATCCAAGAGAACATTAAAACCAGAGGGGAGCTCTGGCAGCCCATTGGTAAGGAGTTGTCAACTCAAAGGCAGGCAGTTCAAATCCACCAACTTCTCAGGAGAGAAAATCTAAGTCTTTGAAAACCTGTTGGAGGGTCAGCTATGAGTCCTGTTCCAACTCAAAGACACACAACTATATGAAAACAATGAGATAAAGGTTTGTTTTCATCAAAAAGCATCAGTCTCTTCCCTAAACATTTCACAGTCATTTAAAAAGACCAAGATGTAAAGTTGAGCAACTCCAAGAATCCCCCCGGGCAGCCCCAGGCTTGGGCCCACATTGCCCCCAGGCCAGTCTCAACTTCCCACCTCTCAGAGTAAACACTTTTCAGTTACGGCTTTTGCTAGACACAACAGACCATTTTTGCCTGGAACTCTTTTATCTAACTGGACAAGGGGGAGGTAGATTTTCCCTGACCACGCTAGCCAGAAGAGCCTCGCCAAGGGAAAGGGAAGATTTCCGGACAGGAAAACATTAGGCCCAAACACCAATAAAAGCTCCTTCCAGGCCAAAACCGGAGCAGCATTTCCGAGCCATGCTTGACTAGCAAAGGTAACACGCTCCAGTGTAGCTTGTCTTGCATGACTTATGCACATGGCTGTCAATAAACCTAAACCAGGCCCTGAAAATTCTTGATGGGATGGGAGGAGAGAGGAGGGGGCTGGAGAATGTATCTCTCTGGGGTTCTGTGGGGGAAGAAGAAGATGCTTCCGCTGAACTGCTGGTGACATCCACAGGGAAGATTAAAAAACATAGTTTAGCAAGAGCGACAGAACCTTCAGCCTGAGCTCCATTCCCAGGGACCTAGTGTCAGTGGGCAGCAAGCGGAGGCTGCATGGCCAGACACTGACCATGACTTGGGCGCATGCAAGGGACAGGCTAACAAGAACCCAAGGCTGGTCCAACACTCCCACTCTTCTGGGTGTCTGAGCACCTTCTCAGTGTATATTCAAAATGAAACTGAGTGCAACAGATAACTGGGGGGGGGCTGTAAAGAGAAATGGAAATGCCTGGAAAATCATATGTTTGAAAACCAATTAACTGGAAAGCATCTTTCTGCACAAACTTCCATACGGAGAACAATGTTCTGGAGAGAGGTTGGGCTTCCTCCTACACAGAGGGGTGCAGCGTGGTCTGGAGGCAGCCTGAGACTGCACAACCTCACACGGCCTTATGTTCACTGAGAGTGACCCACGGGTTCAGTCCTCTTCACTTCCATTCCCAACTTGCCAAGCTGTCTTCCACAAGAGCAGCCGGGAGTGTCCGTCCACCAGTTATGGGCCCAGCTCGCTCAGGGACCTGTCTTGAGGGAGCCATGACCTTCGCTTCTGTTGTTTCTCCTGCCGACAATCACTCCTTTCCTCTCAGGCATGCTAATAGAACCTTCAAGGCTGCCAAGCTCTCTGACACCTAAATGTCCTTAAAGCCCTTATCTTCTGCAGAAAAGAATTCCTAAAAGTTTATGACCAAACCCACCAGTTCATTTGAAGTAAGTCTCTCAAAAAAACAAACATTAATGCAGCAAATACTATGCTCTCCACATTTAGGGAAACCTATTTTCCACCAACCTCCCTTCTCTATACAAAACCAAACTCCTTAACAGAAGCATCTCTCTAAGCTTGGTTTAGGAATCTGCTATAACTAAGGCAAACAATCTTGGAAAAAGCAAAGATCTGAAAACAGATTAATGACTAGACAGAAAATTTCATTTAAAATCTGGTTCATTTACAGCAGTCACCAAAAAAAAGTTATTATCGAGACAATTCTAACTCCGAGTGACCCTATAGTTCTATAGGATGGGATAGAACTGCCTCGTAGGGTTTCTAAGGTTGTAGACATTTACGAAGCAGATTTCCACATCTTTTGCCAGCACAGCAGGCTGGTTGTTTCAAACCACCGAACTTTCAGACAGACGCTAAGAACTTAGCCACTGCACCTCCAGGGCTCCTTGATTTAATCAGAAACAACTCAGAGCTGACCTTCCCGCATGTTTCCAAAACCGTAAATCGAGAAGATCTTCTCCCATCTTTCTTCCTTCAGAGCCACTGGTGAATTCAAACTGACAGAGAGTCTCAGCCTTTTTGGTCAACAGCACAACACCAGAGCACCCTTTACTCATTTATAAGCTCCATAGGAATAATTCTGTAAATACAGACAGTGTTCAGACAGAACAAGTTCCATTTATATATCTACCCTTAGGTCAAATTTATTAAATTGGAACTCTCAAACATGATTTCTAAGTTAACCAAATGTTTATCTTAATATGATATGCATTTCTATGCATAAAAAAAAGTTAAAGAAACACTTTCTGATATACCAAAATATCTAACAACATCATCATCATCATAATAGGAAGGTCTAGTGGCATGGTGGTAAGGAACTGTGCTCCCCAAAAGCACAGTTCAAATCCCCCAGCTGCTCCTCAGAAGAAAGGCGGGCACTCCCCTCCCGGGCAATTTACAGTCTCTGAAAACACACTGGAGGGTCAGCTATGAGCCATTTCTAACTCAGTGGCAGATAACAACAATAACATCATCTTGAAGTAGCATCTGTTTGTTATTTTGGTGGGGGTTTTTGTTTATTTGTTTTGGGTTTTTTAAATTTTTTAAAAATTTTATACTGATTTATTTACAGAGGTTTTTCACAGAAGATCCTTCCCATTTCCTTCAAACTGCCCCTCCCCCTCCCCCCAGCCCCGTTTGTTATTTTGAACCACTGTATGTACCTCAAATGTTTGGTGAGGAGTGGTTCACAACTATATACCATATGTAAGTCGGACATTCATAACCTGGGACTGGCCAGACATAGAATGTATCAAAATTGAACTTAGTGAGAATTTATGTTTCCTCATTATGTTTTTATGTTGAGAACATTGGCTGTAAACCGTCATTAACCACAACCTTATGGCGTGTCCCCAATCTCACATAATCTTACAGCCTCTAACTCCATGGAAAAGCCAAGGCTTTATTTTATTCTTCCCAGAAAATGTTCAAATTTAGCAACTTTTTAAAAAAAGACATAATACTGGATCTCTCCTCTATTCCTATACCCTGTTACCTAGCCTCTGCGCCCATTAAGACAATGAACACCCCCTCCCCAAAAAAATGGTCCAAAATGTACATTTCCTTTTAGAGAGGCAAGTAGCCATAAAAGTTATATGATTGGAAGGACAAGAGTTAAACTCAGAGTTAAGTAAAGGTTAAAGTGGCCCTGCTGGGGAAGTCATAACAACCTGACTTCACGTCATTTGGCAAAGCTGAATAAAGTACTAGACACGAGTCTGACAAGTGGAAGAGAGAGAGACACCAGGGTCAATGAGCCTCAAGTCAGAAATGGAGATTTTTCAGAGTGACAAGGAGGTTTTTAGCCTGTTTTTAATGTTTACAACATGTAAACTTAAAAATTTACTAATACGTTCACATAATCAATCATATAAAAAA